AATTTGATTTAATTACAGATGCTGATTGATATTGAAACATTTTACTTCTGTCATCCCAAACAGCAAAGCCATAAAATCTTCACAGCTTTAATTGATATAATACCAGTACCTAAAAGTAATGTTCACTCGGTTTTTGCTAAGAATAGTCAATTCCCCGTCAAATGATTCCAAAGAAATGTTCCTTCAATTTTGTTTAAAATAGTCAGTTTGTCAATAAATGATAACAAATTATAAACTTTGAGCATTAACAAAGTGAGTTTCTTAAAAATTATGATAGTGTTATTAATTGGCCAAAAAAGAATTCAGATATTATGTAAAAATGTCTTTGAAAGGGGAATTTTTTTATGCATTATTATGTGACCCAACAGTGTATTTCAAAAAGAAAGGAAACAAATGATGCTGAAAAAATATTTTGAAGCACAATATAAAATCACTATAACAAATTTAAAACTAAAGAAACTAAAAAAATACTTTGAACACTACAGAAAAACTGTGACTCGATCGTTATATAATACTTTGAAAAGAGCAGTACATCATAAGATTTGATGTTATTAATTAGGTGAAAAATACAGATTTATGCAATTTTGGCACTTCTATAGGTGAAATGTTTTGTCAGTGTTAAAATATGTAGCTTTCGATACTCTGTATATTTTTATTAATTAACAGATGTATAAAATTATTTTTTTTCTAAATAAATTGTGTATTTTTTGATTATGTTAATAATTACAAAATATTTTGAGGTTAACAGCTGTCCCTTAGCAGTAAGGGAGTTTCATTCCTGTGCGTTTGGGAAGATTTCTCTCTGAACCTATAGACTGAAAAGTTTGCATCATATATATATATATATATATATATATATATATATATATATATATATATATATATATATATATATATATGGATTTTGAGACTTCCAGTTTGCAGACAAAATAGAATTATTTTATGCAGCTTGATAATTATTTGATTCTAAATAACACAAAATAGGTTATTTCATAGTGTCATATATTATATATTAACTTTTATAAAGATATCCCCATACCCCCAAACCCGGGGTTGAACTCTCGACCTATGGAACCTGTTTCCTAGAAGCACATGAACAGCGCGCTAGGACCGCTCAGCCATCTAGGCCAGTCAAAAACTCTTGATGCCGATGGAATTCTAGTGGCATCACCCTACACTACACTGTCATTGAGAAGGAAAGTGAGATACAGTTATTTGGACATTAGTTTTATTAGAGGATCATTACTGATATACATTGTAATAAAATTAATTATTATTTATAAAGCACATTTTACAAAAACTTTTAAACCTATAAATATTCTGTATTTTGACAGTTTGATAACCTTTTAAAGTGAAGACCAACCCTTCCAAGTAAAAATAACTAGATCCGCCAGAATAGATTGGCCATTCCATGCAGTTAAATTGGTCTTATAGCACCTCATCAAATCCCAGTGCAATTATTATCTCAGCTAGACGTGTCTGTGAGTAGAGAATGGATGATAGCTCTAAATGATTTGTTCAAGCGAGGCAGTTAATGGGTTTCGACTCGCTAATTTAAAGCAGGGATAATTCACTATGTCCAACAGTTATAAAGCAGGGATGAAATATGACCGGGGATTTGAGATTAAAAGAGATACTGTATTTATCTTATCAAGTGAATGTTTCCCCAAAGAAAGATTTAATTAGTGGAGTTTTCTATGACCAAATTCTGAGCTCTTTTTTTAATATAAAAATGAAGTGTTTCTTATTTTGAGATAACACTGGATATCCATTAAAAAAAAGAAAATAAATTTTGACTTTAATTAACTCGTTATATAAAAAAAAATCTTTATATTTATCAACATTGGCAAAAGATTTTAACAATAATTAAGTTACAGATATGTCTGGAAGAATGTATAATTGTTTGATATTATGTAGAAATAAATGTTGTCCAGCTCAATTTAATAACTAATTGCGAATAAAAACAAAATCTGAATTAAAATGAGTATAAAATTAATTTGAAATTTGTATTATTGATGAAGACATTCAAGACTATAGTGTAAACTTAATTACCACAATAAACATCTGAGAGTGTTTGACCCTGGACCAGTCAAAAGAAGAATATAAATTTACTAGTGCCTTCTCATGATCACAGTGTTGGTGATCTGTTTATTATTTTTATTTTTATCTTCAGATCCTGTTGAAAACCACATCCATCTGGTATATTCACTTGTGAGAATCTTTGTCGGTATTGGTTTCCATTTCTCTTTGTTTTGTTAAACCTAATGAAAATACTTTGGGGGAAATCGATTTTTTAAATTGTTTGAAATATTTTAGTCCTTTTTCTTAATAGAGAAATCAATATATAACATTATAAATCAATATAATTTAAATTCAATCTTTGATCTAGCTTTCAATTAAAATTTTGAATTAATGTGTTGGTTTCAGAAAGAACAACTATTAATCGAATCAATTTGACTTCTTATCAATAAAATCTGTTCAATGCAAATAAGGTGAAAAACCATCTAATTACAAAATCCTTATGAAAGCATGAATTAAATAAATATATTTCTAAGTTTTTTAGAACTTTTACCCAGTCCCAGTTGTAAAGTTTATAGACTGTCACAATAAAAATATGTTCAAGTCAATCTTAAACATGTATCAAACTAACCCATTATGAAAAGTATAACAAGACAGATTTAGACATTATGTAAAAGAAAAAAATAACAATTACAGAAATTATCTGTATGTTCATTACCAATTTTAGGAAATTTTAGGGGCAACTGAACATACGAACTTATTATGAAACTCTCACTTTCTGTGAGACTCATTTTACTGTCATCCTGATCTATACATTAGAGCATGGGTATTGTGTGAGTAGTAGGGCTAGGCAATAATTCCAATATTCCGGTATACATGTATTACGGTATGTTGACAAAAAAATATCGTATTGCAATACATTTTTTGTAATACTGAATACCGGCAAAATGCTTGGACTCAGGAATCCTAACATAAAATATAAAGAAAAGTTGTCAGAAAGGTTTGCGATCACGCCAAACAGTAAGACAAAAAGCTGGGTGTATTTAGTTGCATAACTGTAATTCAATCAACAGGGTAACTTTTATTGGTTATTTATAATAGTTATGTACACATTTTACATGTAGAAGGAAGTTGAAATAGAAAATTCCACTTAAATTTTTGTTGAAAATATTGCAATACATATCGCAATACAGTAAAAAATATCGCAAAATATCGCAATACAAAACTTCTAGCCAATACCCAGCCCTAGTGTGTATTTAATTTAAATTTTTGTATAAAAATCATTTAAATAATCGTGTACAGATTCCTAAATACTCCTATATATTGCAAAGGAACTGTAAAACCATTGTCAATTTATTTTGATAACATCAGTTGAAGGCTTTTATATACATCTGTACCTTAAAATCGGTTTTGTGGTAAAAGTGTTGCAAAATAAAAAACTAATTATAGTAATTTTCTGTTTGACAGTCATTACATTTTTATTTCTTTAAAGCTGTGGAGCAATTCATCATTGATTATTATACAGCAATGTCTTCAAATTCCCCTTTTGTAATCCTTTCTATTTATATTTTAAAGAAGGGGATGACATTGCTTTATAGCTTTTCTCAGACAAAAGTGTAACATAAATGAATTTACTTTAAATCCCCATAACTAAATCTGGTCAAAATTGCTAGAACTCATAACATAAAGTTGAAAATCATTCATTTTAAAACAGATCTGCAATACAAGCAAGCAAATAAAAAAGCATAACATTTAGAAATTGAAACATATCGGATATAAAACCAACAGTTTTTATGTACGGATCTAATTTGGGGGGGGGGAGGGGTCAGGGGTCCCCCCTCTGGAATTTGCAGAGTTTAAATGTATATACTAATCCAACTAAAATGACCTTGGACCATCCCCCCCCCCCCAAAAAAAAAAACAAAACGTGAACCCGTGTTAAGTGGATATGAAAATTCATACATATGAAGCTTAAGTAGAATTGAATGGCTACCCCCCCCCCCTTTCCACCCACCCCCCTGCTAAATAGGTTTTTCACATCTGGGGTTTAGGTTTTTTTTGTTTTTTGTTTGTCAAGAAATTTCTTGGATTTTTTTTCTTTGACTGGGATGGACCCCCTCCACCCATAATACATTCCCGGATCTGTACCTGGTTTTTGTGGCGAGGACAGATGGCATAATTTTAGCAAATCAAGTGCATGTATTATTGCACAGTATGTATTCCAGAATGGGAAATACATTATTTATGAAGAGTAAAACAATTTTTAAAATAGTGGTAATTAATGTCTGAAGCTCCCTGAGATATGATTACATTATCCATTTATAAATGTAGTAAGGGATTAACAAACCTGAATTTTGAAGTGTTTTCCATCTTTGTACAAATGCACTTCGTCCAGTCAGATGCCCAGCAAACAATCCACAAAAATCACTGTCACTCAAATCAAAATCTTCTAGGCGCAGTATTTTATCATGGCCATTCATCATAACCTTTAAAGTTTATTATGATACATCTTCAATCAATTTGTTTTAGAAGAAAATGTGAAATATTTTCTAGTAATGTTTTAAAACAGATAACTTTTCCTTCAAATAAGCATTAAACAAACAAGCAAATCTATCAATTTATCTATTTCATGGAAATCCATGGGAATAAATTCAATAAATAATACTGAACAAATGAATAAAGAAAAAAATATTACCTTGACACATCCTGCATTGTTTGCAACACCTATATCCCAAATTTTTCCTACAATGTTTCCATTCTGTTTCATGAACAATGCATTATTTTTTCCTTTGGAAATGGACCACATTTTGTATCGGTACAAAATCTGTAATATCTTAGTAGAAAGCTGGCTACAGTTACTCTGAGTGTTCACGCCCCTAAAATCTTATCAGCATCCAGTTTGTGATTGGCATCTGATGTTTGTAACATCAGAGATACCAGTCATCTTCAGGTTGCATGTAACACTTGTTACTTAGCTAGAAATGGGTGATTCTCTCACTGAAGCAGAGGAATATGAGTCTTCCTTAGATCATATTAACATTTATACTGACCATGCTGACAAATCATTACAGGAAATATCAAATTTTGAACATTCCTTTAATTCTGTGTCTCAAAATAATGCATCTGGTGATATATTCTCTTTTCGCGATGATACACCACCTGCCATTCGTGCGCCCACCGTTTGCGATGAAGATTTGTATGAATATTTCAGTGAACAAAGCAATAGCATTAGCAAGGAGGTTTCACTTATTTCATCTGATTTGCACACAAGTGGGAGTTCAACAGATTCACAACCGTTTGGAAATGTGCACTTTAGTGAACCCTTGATGACCAGTACTCCAAAGAAATCAAAAAGTAAGTCATTCTTTTCAAAAACTTTCTTTTGTTTAATATATATATATATTAAGTATCAATGTGAAAGAATGTACATTGTGGCATTAATCTTGCTCTTGTTAGACCTATATATACCACATCTTTCAGTCATGTATTTTAGAAATTGTGTTCTGGTGATAAAAGTAACCTATTAATTAAAGTTATAATGATTAATAATTGAGATTTTTGTTCCCCCAAAATACAGTTTGGACAACATTCCTCCTAAATTATGTGAATAATTTTAGGGGGCAGTCACACACCCTGTCCATAATTTTTTTAAAAATTTAGTCAGGCATGGATATGAAGGAAAAAATTGTGTAAAATGTGAATAGCACCAGATGAATTTACAGTTATTATTTAATACAAGTTTTGGGAATTTTGTACAATCAACTTTTCACGATTGTACTTGATTTCAAGCAATCTATATCACAAGAGAAATGTTTTCCTATAAATTGTCATATTCTACAATGCAGACCTCTCACGGTTAGATTAATACCAAAACCATTTTAAGACAATTTCTCTCAGGCATTAGGTGGTTCTAGCTCTCTGGTATAAATCTGGTTGACAGACTTGGGGGCTATACATGTACCTGTACATTTTTGCTGAAAACCCTGTATTTAATAAAAAAGAGGCAATTTATTGTAATCTATATATGCATGGCTTTTGAACAAATTTTTCTAATCAGGCCTGCAGTATGTTGGGGGTGCCATTTTATTTCTGAGAATTGACTTGCTGTTATAGCAATGCCAGTTTAGAAATATATTTTCAAAGAAAGGTTGCCCCACCACCTTAATCCTTTGTATCTCTACCCAAATAGTTATTTTCCCTATACTCCCCTTTACCATTTAAGTTTTTTTTCTTTGTCACCAAATTATTTATTTTTGCCTGCCCCCCCCCCCCCCAAAAAAAAAAAAAACAACTTCCTAGCCCACTGTGAAAAAAAAAGATGCAATAAATTATCTGCTGTTTTTATTTTACTAAAATAGCCTTTCAAGAAAATTTTATACTTCAAAAACATATTGAGACATGCACTCACTGCTGATTTTGCCTCAGAAATTCTTTAAATTTATTTCAGCACCCCTGGAATGTGAAGTGTTAAATTCTTGCATGGTGATCAATGATCACCATTTTTACTTGTAAATTAACAAAATCAATTAGAACTTTATGAAGGTATAAAGAAAATTTTCAGGATTCGATAACTTGATTATCGCTTAATTAGTTTAAAGCGGGGCGGGGGTAGGGTTAAGACTAAAATGTCTATATATAGAGGTTAATTAAAAGATAACAATGACTTAAATTCAAAGTTTAGAAGCATCTTGGACCTCTAAGGGAGCTCAAGGCAGCCCCAGACCTTCTGCCTGGCAGTGCCTATGAAAATACTTTGTATAGAACACCCCCACATCTTCCAAGGAAATACCTTGAGCCATCCATAAAACTTCAAGAGTACAGTTGACCTAAACATTATAATAATTGTATAACGGGATGGCACTCAAAATATCGCTAAGATGTATAAACTGTACTGTGAACAATTAACCTAAAATTTACTGAACTTTAAACCAACTGATTTTAAATTAAATGATAGATTCCAGTAAATAATTAAAATACGTTTTAAATAACTTGAGATGGTGGTTTATTCTGGATTAATCTCTAATTAACAAATTAAATGAAATTTAATAAGTGATAAAATTCAGTCAATAAAAATACAATACTGCAGTCGACTTAACTCTTAATTCGCCCAAAATATTTAACTTCATACTTCCCTAATTTATTAAAGACTCTAATAGATAACTATAGGCTTTAGCTTTCTTCAAGTTACTGTGTGGTAGTATAAAGAAAAAAATCCCCCTAGTTCTTAAATATTTACCTACATCTTATCCCTGGAACAACCCAAAAATTTGGAATCCCTGTATAACGCGTGCTTCCTTTATATACCCCCTGGGGAACCATCCCAAGAAATTCTGCGCATTTTCTCCGATTTAGATTTAGACAGAACATAATCAAAGCGCAATTAACCCTTGGGCTAATCTTTGATATTCCCATAAGCGCGGTGCGAGACTATCTATATCTGCAGTTTTGAGGAAGGGATCCTAAATTTAAAACGTTTAAACTTAACAGCAGGAACTGAACAATCTGAGGCTTTCAATCTCTGTTCTCCTTTTTTTTGGGGGGGGGGGGGGGTGCTCTTTATATTTTGTGCTCTGAAATAAAAATCGATTAAAGAAAGGAAATTAAAAATTGAAATTAAACAAATATGAAAATAGCAGGCTAATTGATCACTGAATATTTAGAGGCCTTTCTACTTTCTAGAATGTTTCCATATAACTTGAATTGAAAAAAAGAAGAAGAAACTGCAAGAACATTAAATCTATAAAAAACAAGAATTCTCTTTTAATAAACATCGGGTACGGTGGACTTTTTTTTTTTGTTTGTGTGGTAAAGTGCCGAGTAGAAAATAGCTTGTGTTATTTGATTGATGTAAAATAAAAATGCCGATTTTCTGATAAACTTCTTAATTGGGTTTTCTCATATTTTAAATGAATCAAGATAATCAGTTTAGAGCATACAAAACAGATAAGACCTACAGTGGCGAGACGGTGTACATTGGGAAAAAGAAGGTCGTGTTCGGGACTGCTTGAAATAATAGGCATAAAGTTCAAATAAGTATTTGTGTGGGTTGAATTGAATACGACTAGCATTAATTAAATTCCAAATATGCATTTTAAAAAGAAAAAAAAAACTTAAATGATATTTAATAACATTTAAAATTTTTGACTTCAACAAGGGAAGCTGAAGAACTTTAGATCCACCTCTCAAAGCTGTTGCCATCAGTTGTCTCGAATCACTCTCATCATGGGTATTTGAGTGATCAGCGTTAATTGCACATTTATTGAGTTCAAATCAAAGCTTTACCGGACGAGTTTTCTTGCCATGGATATCCGCCAAAACAACATGGAACACCGGAAAATAGTTTCCGTCTATAAAAGAATACTTTAACAAGTTTAAAATACCAATAAATTATAACTCTTATTCATTAATATGTTATTCAATATAATTAATTACCTTACAGGCGTTACATCTCGTTTTTCTAATTAATAGAAAAATCTGTCTGCATAAACATAAGAGGCGCGGATCAAAGAAGTAAATGATCGCGAAAATTCACCTTTATTGCATTGTTATGTAAATAGAACGCAGACCGTCTGCAGCTTACAACACGTCTGCACAATACAGGTACACGTGAAATACCAGCAAAAACGTAATTTGATTAAAACTTCTAGTAGATTATACACTAGTTATACAACATTTCTGCAATTATTTCAACAAAGACATTGTTAAATACGAAAGGGGGGGGGGGCTGATGCTACGTGCCTACATGTTGCTATGTTATTTGTTAGCTCGGATGTGAATGAAACTCCACCCATTTACACAGGCAGATTAGACACAGCTCATTGGGGGTTCCAAATATATTGTAAAAATCATACTGGAGGATTGATCATCTGTTCAACAGCTTATAAGTTTAATTTAGTTTGATCTAAATATTAGTATTTTATCTCTATGACATAGAAAAAAAAAACTTGTTTAAACATTATTTATGATATTTTTATTAATTTCACTTTTTGTGTTCTTTCAATTTGGAATTTGGATGTCAATGCCAAATTTTATACGGTTTGGCAGATATATCCAGGCGCGGATCAAGGAATTGAAGTAAGAGGGGCTGCAAAAAAGTAGTCAGGGGGTCTGGGACTGCCTTGAGATCCCCAGTGGGTCCAGGGCGAAGCCCTGGTGGGGTCCAGGGGGCGAAGCCCCCTTAAGCTCCTGGATTTCAGAGATTTTGTAGGGTAAAAATGAGGTCTACCAAGTAGACATTTTTACATTTTCTTGAAGAAACTATGATTTACGTCAACTTTGACAATTTTAAGGGGAGATATTTTTGTTAGTTTTCGATGTAAGAGTTTCAGTGTTGAGTTTATGGTGCAAGAATGGCCAAATTGTTCTCTTGACCTGCATTCTCCTGTATTTCGAATTGTTTTGCATTTATTTATATTATTAATAATGGTCTTTGATTTTTATTAGGTAATGACTATTTTTTTTTCAGACAAATTGTTTTCTATTTCCATGAAAAATATTTTTGCTAGCAAAGCATATGTTTATAAAGTCTGCCATGATGCATCATAAGCTTCTTGATAGTTTTACTATAAGAGTGTGTATTATTTCTTCTTTGAACTTGTTTCATAAATTATTCTTATTTCATTCATGTGAAAATTACTGGCTATAAAATAGTCTATGTATATTTTTGTTGGCACTAGAAACCTTTATAATATATTTCAGGTGAATGGTCTTTAAAGCTTCAGAAGAAAAAAACATCGAAAGCTACACTGAAAAAGGCCACTGCAGAGCAGTGTGATTGTCCAAAGAGATGCACAAGTAGGACATTTTACTCTAAAGAGATGATAGAGGAGTGCCATTATGCATTATGGAGTTTAAATCCAAAGGACAGGACACATTGGTTCAGAAAAAAATTTGAAGATTTCCAAAGTTTAAGGAGAGGAAAATTTGTCTTCAAGTTAAGGGGTCATTCTGTCTGCCTCAGGAGCTGGTTAATTGCCCATGGTCTTTCAAAATCCATCTTCTATAGACAAAGGAGGATATGGATGAAAAAAGAAGTTCCAAGTCATCGACAAGCATCACTGGGAGAGAAAAAAATGGAAGCACTGAATTGGTTTGGAGAGTATGTAGCATCAAGGGGAGAGAATCCTCCACATGTTCAAGAGATCTGGCTTCCTTTTGGACTTCGTAAGAATGAAATATATCAAGCATATAAAATGGAAATGGAGCTGGATGATAAAGAGTGTGTATCATACCAAACCTTTCTGAACATCTGGAATGATCATTACTCGCATGTAAGAATAAAACAGGTAAGAGAAACAAATCTCCGTATAGAAATTACATATGTAATTTTTATTGGCTCACACTTAAAACATGATGCAACTTTAATAATATTGATAAGACTGCATTCTTAGACTATTTTTAAACAAAATTCAAATTTGAGAAGTGCAATATTAACAGAACTCAGTGCTAAATATGATATATTACATACAGATGTATCTTTAATTTAGTTTAGTTGAATAATTGCATTGATTTATGCACACCAAAGTCAATTTCACAACATAATATAATATTCAACATGTTCAATTTCATAGGAATTTGTGAAATAATTAACCAAATTTATATTGAAGTTAATGAGGTTAAATTTTTTAGCATTTAAAGAAAACAAACCAATTATTATTGTTCGACGGGTGACCTATATTTTAAATGTACATGAACTACTAGAAAAAATGTAACCCCTTAAATTAACAATGTGCTTTCATTACTGTAAATGTACCTGTATACCTATTTTATTGGTGTGTCAATAAGCTTAGAAATTCATTTGTTAATTTTCAGAGTAGCTTATTCACAAGATGTACAACATGTGACAAACTTGACAGGGAGTTGCATAAACAATTGAATCCAGAGAAAAAAAGAAGCATATTGACTAAGAAACAAGATCATCTTCACAGGCAAATGTAAGTATATATATTTCTTTCAAAAAATGTGAACAGCATCAATAGAATTTAATGGTACATGTACATTCATTATACCCCCACCCTTTTAACAAAGTTTGGAGGTACATGTATATAGGAATCACCTTGCCATCTGTCTGTCTGTCTAGCTGTCTGTCTAAGCAATCTTGTCTGGATTATTAATTTATATTATAGAAGCATTGAAGCTTATACCTGGTACAGAGATTGACCAAAAGTCATTCTGGCAAGTTCAAGGTCATTGTATTAAAAGTTGTAAAATTCATAACAGTTCTATAACCAAATTGATAACTAAATTGATAGTGATTACAGGGATAGAAAACTTGAAAAAAATGGGTATTTTTTTACTCATTAGATGTCTAGTATTAGGTATTCCTGTTGTTTGAAGAATGGTTCAAACAGTATTAAAAATGCACTTTTTTTCCTAAACCCAAAAGAATCTTCCTTTGAAGGTTTGTAGGCCTAAACTGATACAGGCATTTAATTAAATACTACTCATTTGACATCACATATATAATATATAAAGAATTTAACTCATAAAATCCAGTAGAAAGATTAGTCTAAATAGAGATTGTTGTGATTATAAACAGAAATATCCTGAATTTGATTGCAACATTTAAATGTTGAAGCTATGAAACTTTCATGAATTAATATTTATATCCACTTAATACATGTATTACTAATATCTTATGAAATTTTTAATGAAATGATAATAGTTGGCCAAATCGATCTACACATGTACAAACAATTTCACAAAACATTTAAATTGCCATCTTGTTAGGCAGTGTCATAAAAAGTATAAGCGTCGAAGCATAAAGCCACCTTAATAAGGTTAACATGCTAGTTATGCCCCTTGAACTTGGAAAAAAAAATGAGCAAATAAAATTATTAAAAACTAAATATGGCATTTCAAATTTTGGCTGCCTGCGGGGGGATTAATGGCGTTACGACACATCTAGTTCTGCAATATAGCTGCAATATTTATTCCCATGATCCATACTTACAACCAAAGAAAGCATTTCATTGTTTAAATAATTTTAGGTCATTGCTTGTCATAACATAGTGATATGAGAAGTTGATCTTGTAATATTTCTATTAAAGTATTAATTTATATAAGTAAGAAATAAAGAGGTTAACAAGGACACAGAAAAGTGGAGCATCCCCCCAAAAATGAGCACATCAGTCCCCAAATATGTATCTGTGTATTATGCATGCACTCATTCACTCTCTCACACACACCAGTGCATTACTATATCCCCTTCAACTTTGTTGAGAGGGAACTAAATGTTCACAGGGAAACGACCTTGGTTGATATGTGATCAAGTTTACCGGGAAGCCCTTCAGGCTTCTGTGACCAACCAAGTTCATTTCCCTGTGAACTTTTGAAACTTATTATTTATTTCTTAAATAAATGCTATTATTTACCAGACTTACTTTTTGTTCAAAACCAGTGCTTAAAATACATTAAAAATAATTAAGAACCTTTATATTGATATGCTTATACTGTATGCAGTCTTGTATTGGTATATGCATGTATCTGTTTTTTTTTTTTTTTGATTTGATTGTGAGAATTTTTATGTTTTAATCTAGGAAGGAAAAGACAGCATATTATAGGAGAAAGGTTGTAAGCAGACGCAGGCCAGACAAGTACCTTAGCTTAATCATTGATGGAATGGATCAATCTAAAACAAACATTCCCCATTTCAAGGGAAGACAAAGTAAGGTATGTATTACTATAAATATCAAGAAACTTTTAAACTACATGTTAATGCCAATATGGTACAGCAAATCCTCTTTAAAACTCCTCTAACTATAGAGATTACTTCTAAGAGTTTTGTTAAACATATACACTCGCATCAACTAGTGTCAGCACTAAAGGTCATATCAACTATAAACCAGTATAACTCAAAACTTTCATTAATTTCTTTTACAATGTTTCTAGCAATTACCAGTGTTCTATGTTTAATACCTGTAAAGCAAAGGGTTCTCAAAATTATAAGGAGGCAGCAGTTGGGTCTACTTAATGGTTTAAAGGTACAAATCACTGGGGGTGGGGTTAATTACATATCGCAATGTAAGTTATAAGTTCAGTTACATGTACACATAAACCCCCCCCCCCCTTTCAAATTTAATATTAAAAACCAAAGGCCTAACCATTGGTATGAAACACAATCAGCCAAAATACGACCCAATGATAGGTCATAGGTCATGACCTGTCCCCAGATACAAAATTCACTATTTCCTTCTTTATTGAAAAAGCAGTTGTCTGTAATATAAAAAAAGCTACTTTTTTTATTTATTGTGAGGAATGGTTGTATAAAGTTGAGGAAATATGATTGTTTTGATCTTACCGACTTAAGAAAAAACTGGTGATTTTAAATTTTCTAAAAGTTCTTTATAATTTTTGAGAAAGATCAATCCACATGTGATTTACAGCACTTCTTTATTATACTGTAGAACAGTACATCTTAAGTTTCTCCTTTACTGAGGTCAATATTTTTGTAAGGATTTAGCTAGTATTGTTTTTACAATTATTAATTTCAAATCAAATACTTCTTTAACTTATTACTGTGAATTGATAAAGTATATTGTAAATTCTTATATCGTATTGGAATTTTTTTTATATTTTGCAACTGTAGGAATTCGCAGCTACAAGACAATTAAATGTTCACGTGACTGGGGTCCTAAGCCATAGTCGCAATAAGAAGATTCTGTACACAGATTTCCACCAGTATAAGCATGATTCCAATCTAACACTGAATGTTCTTCTTAAAGTTCTTTGGAATCATTCAAAGGTATTGAAATATATTATAATTTAGTATGACAATCTATGTTTCTACATACAACTGCTTTGATTAAATTGTTCAACTTCTTATAAATTTAAAAAACCTTCTTTAATAGGGAAAACCATTGCCACCTGTTCTGTATCTTCAAGCAGACAACTGCTTTAGGGAGAACAAAAACAAGTATGTACTCTCTTTCTTGGAACTGTTAGTCAGAAGACGGATTTTTTACGAGGTAATTTCATTAACTATACACAATACATAAGCAGATTTTAATGCACTGAATGTATAGTTTTTTAGCTCACCTGAGCTGAAAGCTCAAGTGGGCTTTTCTGATCACCTGGTGTTTGGTGTTCATCATTTTGTCTATCCGCCAATCTGTAAACTTTAACATTTTAAACTTCTTCTCAAGAACCACTGGATTAATTTTAACCAAAATTTGTACAACGCATCACTATTTGAAGGGAATTCCTAATTGTTAAAATGAAGGGCCAAGCCTACTTTCAAGTGGAGATAATCAATAAACGGCAAAAATAGAGTGCAGTCATTAAAAAATCTTCTCAAGAAACAGTTGTCCAAAAGAGCTGAAACTTATTTGGAAGATTTCTTAGTATAGATTCTAAATTGTTCAAATCATGGCCTTGGGGGGTAGGGTGGAGCCAAGATACGGAATCATAGTTTCAAAGTTTTAGATTGAAATACATGTATATAGGAAAAATCTATAAAAACCTTCTTGGAGGAGGGGGGGGGGGTCTGATGCAGGTCAGCAGGGCCAAAGTAACTCGGGTGAGCGTTGTTGCCCATGGACCTCTTGTATTGACATATCTTTACAACAAGCAAAGTATCTGATGGACTAGAAATATTAAAAACTGATATAAACTTTTCACAGGTTCAGTTATCTTTTCTACATGTGGGCCATACACATGAAGATATAGACCAAATGTTTAGTGTTATCGCAGACCATTTGAGGCATAAGGATGCTACAACTTTACCAGTACTTAGCAACATTCTCTATGATGCAGAAGAGCTCGGAGGTTGTTTTGATATCTCGGGTTGGTTAAGTCCTCATCTAAGAGGTGTTAAACATCACACAAGGACAAATACATTCAGGTATTTAATTATTGTATTGTCTAAGAATCAATTTTAATCTGCAGTTGTTGATATGTTTGAATGTTTGTTTGTTGCTCAACGTCCCTTTGAGAATTTTCACTCATTATGAGATGCCACCACTTGCCGGTGGAGGGCAGCAAATATGGATCTGTACTTGGCACTTAAGACCTTTGAGCAGTGAGGGGTCTTTTGTCGTACCAGCACCTACTGAGACACGATACTTCAGTTTATATAATCTCATCCAAAGGACTGATTCCACGTCCCACAGTGGGATTCAAACTCACATATTATGTTACAGAGGGTCTGAGGTCACATATGGGAAGTTTAATTGTGATGTAATAAAAACATTAACAAACAACAACATTCAATTTAACCACATGATGATGCATATATATATATATATATATATATATATATATATATATATATATATATATATATATATATATATAACAAATTGCATTGATTTATTTTATTGATTATTTATAAAATCCTGAAAAATCACAATATTTGATAACAATACTGCCAAGTAATAAAACCACTAGCCTTGGTATGACGTGGCACAAGTGATCCAGAGGAGTAGATTCACTGGTTTAATAATTACAAAAATCCTTAAATAAATATGTAACCATTGTCAATTTATAAATTTAATCAATAAAACAAAAGGATTTTTTTAAAACAATTATATAGATACATGTATATCAATTTATCTAGTTGCTATGAGGCTGCATAGCAACAGGGAATATAAAGAATATTGCTAACATGATGAGAATATTCCTAATGAGCCCCAAAAGTGCAAGGGCATAGACTAGTCTGTTTGAGCTGAATTATGGATTATCAATTGCTTGTATAATGTTTATTTTAAAAAGTGCATGGAGCTGATGATTTCATAACTTTATTCATAACAAAAATAAAGTGAAGTAGGGATTCTTAGCTATTGTACACATTTTTGGCAGATTTGCTAGTACTTCCCAAATAGCACTAACTACCTCCCAGCACTTTTCGGAGACGATGTAAACCTTTCTTAATGTGCATCATTTTTTTTCCTTTAAAACATGCGTATGACCTTGCACTAGCATCATTTAAAAATTCAGCTGAACAATTCTATTTTAGTATGAGTCACTTGACACACAGCTTATAGCTGGTACTGAGTATGGCACAGTCCTATCTAGTATGGATTTCTATATTACCTTTCCTACATGTATACAGTAACTTAACAAATGAAGATTTTAAACATATAAAGAAGGTACTAAGATTGCATTTTCACTTTCCGTCCAGAACCTGCAATGCAAGAATCAACTCCTTTCTCTGCGACTCCGGAGCAAATGCTTTAACCACTGTGCCATTCTTGGAACATGTTAATAAGTAGTCATGATATCAAATATTTATTTAATTAACTCTCCAAAACATGATTTAACATAGTTGACATCTAAACTCTTATTATTTCGAAAGGAAAACAAATTAAAATTTCTATATTTATATTCATTTCAGATACAGACTGAATGAGGAAACTGGGGATATCAACATTTATTATCGCAAAAATGTTGACCATTCTTGGAAAGCACTGCATGGAAGCTTTTTTAATCAAAAATCAGATGGCTCTGTCAGCATGCCAACAAGACAACCCGCAGTGTTAAATGCAACATTTGAAAAAATTGACATCCCTAATCTCAGAAAGAACATGAAGATTTGGAAAAATATGATGTCAGAAGAAGATATTGCGTGGTGGGAGAATTTTCTCAAAACCTTAGATGAGACATCAAACAACCCACGAAACTACTCAAGAACAGGAGCTGTTTGGGGCCTATCAAAGATTCCGAAGTATGCTCAAGAGTCACTTGAAAATGATGACGACCTTTCTGCAGTGCCAGAGCATCTTCAGCGGATTCTAACAGAGGAAGAGGAAAACCCAGATGTATATTTTAGTTAATTTTGAAAAAATGGTACATTTACATTTTTAGCTCACCTGAGCCGAAGGCTCAAGTGAGCTTTTCTGATCGAATTTGTCTGTCGCCTTTGTTCTTGTAAACTTTTCACATTTTCATCTTCTTCTCAAAAACCACTGGGCCAATTTCAACCAAACTTGCCATAAAGTATCCTTGGGTAAAGGGGGTTCAAGTCTATTCAAATGAAGGGCTACATAGGGAAAATCTTTAAAAATCTTGTTCTCAAGAACAGCAATGCCATGATTGGGCATAATTATATGGAAGCATCCTCAAGTAGTGTAAATTCAAGTTTGTTCAAATCATGACCATAGGGGGTAAAGTTAGGCCACAATGGGGATCAAAGTTTTACAAGGAATACATTGGAAAATCTTTAAAAATCTTTTTTCTTGAAAACAGCAAAGCTGCGATTGGTCATATTTATACTTTTGAACTTTTCAATACTGAAATGATATATATTTTTTTTTTGGTTGCTTTTTCCTAGCCAAAGTACTCAAGTGAGCGATGTGGGCCCTGGGCCTCTTGTTGAAATATTTCAGATGCAATCTTGTAAATGAGATCCTAAAATTTATTAAGGGGTGGGGGGGGGAACTTATTATGTTGTCCTTCTGACTTAATATTTTATCTATCTGTGTGTCTATTTCTTTGCCTTCAGCTTAAAATAACCATTACCATATGTTTTCGATTCTACATGTATTTGGTCAAATGGGGTCAAAAGTTTTTCTTGGTAATGCAACAGGATCATTGATAATGGAACGTTTTTAATGTTAGGACAAAGTCTTTTAAAAGCACAGGTTTCATCTGTGTTTAAAAAAAAACAAAAACATAAATTAAGCCTCATAATAGAGAACAAGCACAGCTTTGCACTTTCAGGATAAGAAGCATTACATATCCTTTGAGCACTTTTATCTCACATGAACTATTGATTCAGTGTGAGCTTTTCTGATTACGATTCATCCTTTGTCTATTTGTATAGCTGTTCATCTGTCTGTCTGTTTAATTTTACATTTTTGTACTAATTTCAACCAAACTTATCACAAAACATCTTTGTGTGAAGGGGATTCAATTCTAGTACATGTCTTTGCCGTTTACTTTAAATTCAGAATTGTTATTTACATTTTAAATTTATATACATATGATGTTAGATATGAGATACGAGAGAGCTAAATTCCTTTAAGTAAACTCTAGAAATAGATTTACCATTTATGTGAATGTGAATCTTCTTGTATGTATATCGTAATATAGATCTCTCTTTTGATGATGTTTGTTCAACTGACTTTTATAGTTTTCATGTCTTTTTTTTCACTTGTGATAATGTTAAACATTCTTTGAGTAATTTTAAACAAGTGGTAAATAAATGGTTCAAAGATGATAAGGGGGTAAAGCTCTGGAATAAATATTTAACAATGTACAGTGAATTCACATTTTTCAATGTATAAACATTTTTCAATCTGGTGAAAAGCAGACATACCAGTACATGTATTGTTTTTATACTGAAATAGAGGATTTAATTACAAATTTAATCTTTTAAAGTATATGTTATGAGGTCTATCATAAAGATACATGAATGAGTGTTTTGAAATACTTATGTTTCCTAAACCTGTGTATATGACTGTGTTTATTACTGATGGAGATAATGGTTCTGATTAAAATTGTTTTTTATATTTAAATTGATCAATTAATTCAATTAGACTGTAAAAATGTTAGAGTCATATAATGCAATGACGACCGTTTTGCAAAGATTTTGTCATAAAAGAGATTATCTTATTTTTCTTGTAATGAGCCCAGATACCCTGTAAAAAAGAATGTTCCTAAAAAAATTAAATTATTATGTGATGAGTAAAGAAGATAGCGTTCTTCAGATTGACACCTTCCTCAAATTCGGATGCTAATAATCAGAGACAGATTTGAAACCTTTGTAAAATAGAAGAGGAACATTCCTAAAATCTCCGAAAGATTTGAAAACTGCATAAAGTAAAAGAGGAATGTTCCTAAAAAACTTGGACAGATTTCAAACCTTTGTACATTAAAAGGGGAACGTTCTTCAATTCTCACAAAGATTTGAAACCTTTAGAAATTAAGAGAGGAACGTTCCTCAAATGCCAGAAAGATTTGAAACCTTTAGAAAGTAAAAGAGGAACGTTCCCCAAATTCCAGAAAGATTTGAAACCTTCAGAAAGTAAAAGAGGAACGTTCCCCAAATGCCAGAAAGATTTGAAACCTTTAGAAATTAAGAGAGGAACGTTCCTCAAATGCCAGAAAGATTTGAAACTTTTAGAAAGTAAAAGAGGAACGTTCCCCAAATTTCAGAAAGATTTGAAACCTTTAGAAAGTAAAAGAGGAACGTTCCCCAAATTCCAGAAAGATTTGAAACCTTTAGAATGTAAAAGAGGAACGTTCCCCAAATGCCAGAAAGATTTGAAACCTTTAGAAAGTAAAAGAGGAACGTTCCCCAAATCTCAGACGAATATGAAAAGGTTGTAAAGAAGAGGAACGTTCCTCTAATCTAGAGGATGTTAAATATAAGCTTTGAAAGAGGAACGTTCCTTAAGCATCTTCTTTCTAAACACTTTCCAATATCAAGAACCTTCAAAGGTAAAAAAAAAAGAGGAACGTTCCTCAAAGTTTTACTCCTGAAGGCTCATTATTAGTCTTTTTTGCTCAAATTGACTGCATATATGAAAAAAAGGGTCAAAAAAAGGGAATTTTGATTTTCCCTTTTATTTTTGGATTGTGTTTACAATAACAAAGAATGAAAAAAAAGAAGAAATTAATCATAAAAGTATTATATCACAGAAATAATTTATCACAAAACAATTTTTCACGTGATGCCATCTTTCAAATACCATACGGTAACTCTTGGCTATTTCCGTGTCGCCGATATTAAACGACGATTAATTACTTGTGACGTAGCAGTGACGTTGCGGTCTAACAATTCTTATGTTGTAATGACAGACCAGTCAACAATGAAATTTGTTAGACCGGTGCAAAGAAACATTTAGTTTGTTGGACTTGGTAATAAATATATAGAAAGATTTTTTAAAGGGTGTAACAACATTTCGTAATAGATATTACAAACATTAAACACAATCTTTAAAAGATCTATGACTCAGGCATATCATCAAGATATTGTGCTATTTAATAGTCGACTGAAGATTTCTTAGCAACTTTGCATTCCTTCAAAATAGTTCCATGTCATTCACATTATCACAGTTGTGCATTTTCATTAGCTGAGACAGTATTGCATTCGTCCGCTTAACTATGACGTCATACGACGTAGGTTCAACGTTAACATTTTGTAATCTTGCCCTTGGCACTGATTACCTTAAGCAGAGCTCTTTGAATTGAACAAAGTGTTGTATGTAGGTTGTTGGGATGGCTGTCCAAATATGGCGGATTTCACTTCAAGGTCGGAAGCATTGTTTATATTTGAAATTCGTTGTCTCAATTTATTTTTTTTAAAGCAACCAACAGTTTTCTATCATATTACAATCGGATGAATGTGCTGGCCATGTCACCGAGTTAATGGCATTTCTCTGCCTAAATTCCGTAACAATCCCTAAATAATTTTGTGTTCCCTTTACCTTGACCTCACTTTTCCAAGGTTGGATTTAGCTCAGTTTCAAAGACAATATTCAAGATATTTTTGTTACTTATGCATGATACATAATTTGTTGAGAATTCATCAACTGTTAGCAATTTCTTCCCCTTGACCTTCCTGACCTTTGACTTTATTCTTTATTGTGTATAAAACGTAGTTTTAAAGAAACTATCCAAGATATTTCATCAAACTTCATACGTATACACTACTACAAATTTACATTTTTGTTTTTAATTACCCTGGGCGTCCTATATATATATATATATATATATATATATATATATATATATATATATATATATATATATATATATATATACTAAATGAAAAATCCAATTTTTGGTACAGTAAAGTATTGATATATCCAATGAAAAAATCAAAAATCACAAGACTCGAATAATCATTTTAACTGTAAGCGCTTTCTACCTTTTAATGGCTCTTCAGACAGTTACAAAATGAATATGAAATTGCTTAGTAACGTTCATAAGCACGACGTCAATTATTGTCCTTTGTGACGTCATAATAACGTTAAAAGGTAGCATCATAATTCGCACAGTTACAATCACTTGTAATTCAAAAACAAATAGAAAATTAAATAGAAAATTAACTCTGAAGCAATTATTTTCTGTTAAGTTTTGGGTTAAATAATTTAATAAAGTAGTCCTCCTTTGCTACTCTGGATATTTCACAGTCATTGTGCATTTTATAAAATGGAAATATTTTAAAATTGCCTTTCCCACAGATAGCAAAGTGCTCACTGTACGGCGTATTTCTTACGTCAGGGTCCCGAATTTGTTGTTTATGGACTCGCACACGTGCGTTCAGTTTGCTGGTTTGTCCTATGTAGTATTCATCACAGGTTGGACAGGTTATGCAATAAATAACATTTTCTGACTTGCAGGTCATGTTGGCGTTTGGTGTTAATTTTTTACAACATTTTAGAGTTTTTTCACTGCCCTCCTCCAGATATTCACATGTTCCACAGCGTGGGTCACGGCACTTTTTGACAACTTTGGCATTGTCCGATGCAAATCTTGCTCTGGTTAGGATTTTCTTTAGATTGGGTGCCTGTCTCCTGCTATTAATTATTTGTGATTCCTTGATAACATCTTTTAAATTTTGAGACTGTTCTAAAATGGGAAAAAATCTCCTGGCTGTTTTCAAAATATTGTGGTTGCGTGGATTGTGCGTTACAACAAAAGGGATGTCGCTTTTTTCACTATCATCCTTGTGGCGATTGTTCCTTAGTATAGACGTAGGGATGCTTTTTGCCTTTTCAATTCCGGCATTTATAAGATTCTCCGGATAATGTTGTTTTTTGAGATATGATTTAAATTCTTCTAACCGTTTTGACCGTAAAGATGTATCGGTTACTATTGTGCATATGCGTCTTGCCATGTTGTATGGAATATTACGTTTAGTATGCGATGGGTGACATGAATGAAAATCCAAATACTGGTGCGA